ATCCCAGGCACCAGCACTCCAAGGTAAGGTTTCACTGGAGTCCAGTCTAGGAGGCGCCCTTGGCTGACACCTTTTGGCGTTTTACTTCTGTGTCTGCTGCTCTGAACCCGGGGTTCACAGGCTTTGCCTCCCAGGTCTCTGGAATTTGGGAGCCTGGTCCAGTCCCTGGGCACTCACTCCATGGTCTCCTCTTGGTAGTGTGTCACGGCTTGCTGCCAAAAGAACCCCACCCTTACTTTGCCTAAAATGGTATCCAAAGTTTCTAAGTCTAAAGGGCTTGCTTTAGGCATAACCTTAAAAGCACCAGGCTTTAAGCAGAGACTGAGATTTGGTCTTGGTTGATCTGAAACTTCTTTCCTTTTCTCCTTACTGAAGGTGGAAAGTACAAGTAATGGATTTTTGGAAAGTGCACCAGAACTTCTGGGAAGAATGTGGTGGAGCTGAGGATCTTAAGTATTCGTGAGTTGTCTCACATGGATGTTGGTTACCAAACTCAGGTCCTGTACATCGCAATATGAACTCCTAACCACCAAGCAATGACTCTAGCCAAACTTGTTTTCTTATGAAAGGTATGACACCTTCTGGGGCTGCAGAGATGGCTCAGAGGTTAAGAACACTGGTTGTTCTTACAGAAGACTCGGGTTTGAATCCCAGAACCCACATGGCAGCTAACAGCTGTCTGTAATTCCAGTCCCAGAGGATCCGACAGCCTCTTCTGTCCTCTGCGGGCATTGCACGACACGGGTACACTTATGTACATGCATATACATAAAATAAAAATAATAAAATTTTTTTAAAAAGTTAAAGGTATGACACCTTCAAATAGGATATGCTTGAAAAGCGTATTACAAAAAGGTCCATTTGATTTCATCAAGTGGTTGAATGAAAAAAATGAGCCTGTAATCGCAGCTTCTGGGAGGTTCTGGTTCCTAAGGGAAGGACTGCTCATCCTCCTGGGGTTGCACTAGCCCATGTCTCACAAATGTGGCGCACTGGTTCTCTCTCTCTCTGTCCTTCTGTCTGTCTCTCTCTCTCTCTCTCTCTCTCTCTCTCTCTCTCTCTCTCCATTCATGTCCTAGGTTGTTCTGTAATTTTCTCATATAGAAAGAGGGACTACCTGAAAGATTAAGAGCTCTGACCCACTGACCGCTCTTGCAGAGGACCCGGGTTCGAGTCCCAGCACCCCTATATGGTGGCTAACTAGCATCAAGAACTCCAGTTCCCAGGGATTCCAGTTCCCTCTTCTGACCTCAGTGGGTCATTGCATGACACAGGTGCACTTACATACATGTAGGCAATGCACTCATACACATAAAATAATAAGAATAAATTTTAAAAATACTTAGAGGTAGAAAGATCATCCTCGTGTAACTACTGAGTTCTAGACTACCCTGAGGACTGGGTTACATGACACCATAAAAAGCATAAGTAATGAAAGCTTCTTATGGAAAAGGAAATGATCAGCAGACTCTGGAGTTGGGGATGTAGCTCAGTGGCTAGGGTTCTAATACAGCGTGTGTGAAGCCCAACACTTGAGAGTTGGAGGTAGGATGATCAGAAATTCAAGTTCATCCTTGCCTACATATGAAGTTTGAAGCTAGGCTACATGAGCCCCCTAACCCCCATGACCACCACACAAAAAGACCCAGAATCTGAGCTATAAAAGGGATGAAACATCATAAAATTAGAATACATACTGCTGCCTAAAATGACTGAAATAGTGATGAATTTGAGACGCATAACTGAGAGATTCTTGAACTGTGAGTTGGTGCGCCATGGGGAAAGGATAAGGGAGATTCTCCTACCGTGTAGGGGACTAGAAGTAACTGTAGGTTGCCTGCAGCCTGTCTTTTTCTCTCCTCTTGTCCTGTAAACTCCCCAGTCTTTGCCTAGCTCAGGAGCACAGTTGGCTGTTCATGCCTCAAGATTATAATCCATCTAGAAGGTTCCACGATGGAAGGTGTGGATTTACATCCACATTGATTTCCACCCTCCTCTCCACCCAGAAACACACATAGGCACTCCATTAGACATAGCTGGTGTTCTTAATAAACATTTATTGAGTAATTCACATCATATGATCTAGTGTACAGTACAGTGCTGCACAGGGACCTGCAAGTAGCCCAGTGCGGAACACCTCCGGAGCCATTACTTCTGTTACAAAACAGGACTAGTACTACAATGGTTGTCTGAGGCAGAGGCATAGTGAACTCAAGGCCAGCCCAAGGGACAGAGAAAACTTCACCAAATCCCCAATTAAAAAGAATAAATAAGAGATTTGCTAAAAGGATGGGGCAAAACACGGTCAGAACCCTCGTCTTGCATGCCAGTACCACAGAACAAAGAGAGATAAGCTGGACCTGCTCCTGTAAGCCTGTCATCCCAGACACTCAGGAGGCTGAGGTAGGAGCATCTAAACTTCAAGGTCATCTTGGATAACTTAATAAGTCTGTCTTCAAATTAAATAGAAAGTGCTGCTGGGCAGAGAGCTTAGTGGTAGGCCTTTTGCCTAACATGAAATTCCAATTCCCTAAGACTGATAAAAAATTCTCCAAGTTCAGCATCATCATGGCTAGTTTCCGGGCAGCTCTGACTCCGTGAAACCCTGTCTGAACAAAGGAAGAATTTCAGGCTGCAGAGATGACTGAGAGGACAAGGCCTGCTGCAGCTGTTCTGATGACCTGAGTTTGGTCTCGGACGTGCATGGTGTGTGGAAACAAGCAAAGGCGGCCCACGTGGTCCCAGGATGCCGGTGCTGTCACTGCTTCCCCCCACTCCATTTCTAGCCATTACCTGCAGACTCCCCTCTAGATGTACTGCAACCCAGGATGGCTTGGCCCTCTGGACGGCCAGCACTGCACCCACTCTCACCTGAGGATGTTGTGCAGTTGTCCCTTAAGGAAGAAGACGTCATCTATATAAATCTCCCGCAGATTGTCCAGGTTTTGTAAATGAGCTGCATACCTACGGGGATACCACTTATTTTTCCATACAGTTGTATATATTTCCTGACTCACACCATGAAAGGAAAACTTCCGAAGGCTCCTCATCCTGCCCAGGTAAGGAACAAATACTTTCATGGTGTCTTGATGAAAAAAACTGTCCACCTCCAGCTCCTCGATGCTGTCAAGGCACACAACATGAAGAAACTCCTATATTCGGTATATGGAATCTGGTAAAATCTGCACCCTCCTGCAGCACAGCTGGATGACCTGTTTTCTCATCTTTACGCAGTCCAAGAGGTAGGCTTGGAAATCATTAAGTGGTCCATTTTTGAAGGTGATGCAGAGGTCTGCCAATATCTTCAAGGGCCTTGTTCCCATCCCGGAATCAGGGCTGTCTGTTTGCGCCTCACTAGGGAGTTCTGAGCAGGCGCGGGCTATGCATCCACACCCCATCTTCCAGATGTTCTCATCCCCGTTCTGCAGACTGAGCACGTGCAGTTTCCATTCTCTGTGGGAAAAACAAAAGTGTCTCACATTATAGGAAGGACCCCAACTCCAAAATGAGCTGGAATCCAGCTGTGGATGCCAGCTGCTCCCCATTTTCTGCTGTCTTACATTATTTATTCAATTTTAGAAAAGGTCTATTTATGGAGTCCAGTTTGTCCTTGAACTCCTCCAGCCTCTGCCTCTAGAGAGTGCTGTGATTTCAGACCTGGCCAGCACACCCTGCTTTCTGCCTTTTTCCCCTTCCCTTCCCTTTGAAACCCTGTCTGTTCCTCCTTCTGATGACTGGGAGGAGGCAGGGAAAGGCTTCTGAATCTGTGTCTGCATCAGTCCTCTGCGGTGTCCCGTGCTTGGGTGCACTTTCCCAGTTAGATTGGCGATGACCCAGACCTTCTAACCTCTTCACTGATACCATCCAAAGTCTTAGTCCCACCTTCTGTCCTCTTTATGATCTCAGTTCTCCCTTCCCTGGACTCCTGGACCTTCCCTCTAGGCTCCCTGGATTTCCCTTACCTGGAGCGATCCTTCATGGCAAGCAGCATATCAAGTCCTCCAGGATGGCTTGTAAAATTTCCAGATGGGGTGTCTTCATCAGTGACCCCAAGGGCAGGGAAGGGGATAGCCAGGCCTGTACCATTGACCTCAACACATGCCTGTGTCCCCCTTTGAAGGCCTCCACAAAGATTGGCAGGAAGAAGTCCACGGGCATGTCCTGCAGGGAGGAGGGGTCCAAGGCCTCATTCCTCTCAGCAGGCTCACACTTGCCAGTACCAGGAGTGTGGGTGGGGCCTGCAAACCCATGCTGAGGACTTTGCAGGTAACTTTTCCTGAGGGAGTAAACAGAAAAAGGCAGCCACTTAGCCAGGGTGAGAAACTCCTTTTCACTCATCCAAGGACCCTATCATACCCCAAGTCACTGCTCTCTTAACAGTGGAGACCTCCGCTTACCCTGCTGCTACAACAAAAACAACTTAGGAGCCACGTGTGTGGGCACAGCTGTAATCCCAGCACTTGGAAGGTGGAGGCAGGGGGACTTAGATTTCACCTTCATTCCCAGAACTGAAAAGCAAAACAACAACAACAACAAAAAACTACAGTCAACAAAACATACATCCGACTTTGGAGGCCCACACCTGCATTCCCAGCACCACAGATGGTGAGACAAGAGGATCACCATATGACACCAACCTGGGCTAAGAGTGCCTCAAAGTTCTGAATGAAATAAGGAAGCCCCAGTCCCAGCTGAGGAATTACTGGCAACTGATAGGTGTTGGGAAGGAGATGTCAGTCTTCTTTAAGGTGAATCTCTGTGAAGGGCAACCAGGCTCCAATGAATGCACACACTAAAGCGCATTTCTGGATACCAATCTGACTCCATTGGCCTTAAAAATATTTTTATCACAGAATAAATGAAATTGGGTGGGGGCAGTAAGTGGTGTGCAGATAGGGGAGCGGTTCAAATCTATGTTGTCTGTTAGCTGCAAAAAAGCTTTTTTCAAAATATAAAATGAGGGGCTAGAGAGATGGCTCAGTGGTTAAGAACAATTGCTGTCCCTGTAGAGGACCCGGGCTCTCATTTATGACAGCTGCTCATAGCTCAAGCTCCTGGGGATCCTGCCCATTCTTTTGGCCTTCACAGGCATGGCATGCACATGGTGCACTTATACACATGCAGGCAGAACCATGATATATGGTCAAGGCCAGTTAAAATTCTATAGGGACCTCCAAGCCAGCCTGGGCTGAAACCTTGTCTCAAAACACCAAAGAACTAGGGGATGGAGAGATGGCTCAGAGGTTAAGAGTACTGGCTGCTCTTGCAGAGGACCAGGGTTTGGTTTTCAGCACCCACTTGCATCTAGCAACCATCTCTAATTCCAGTTCTATGGGATCTGATGCCATCTTTTGACCTCCATGTGCACTGCATGACATGGGTGCACTTAACAACTCTGTTGTTAAGCTTTGACTAAAAACATGATAGGTCTAGGGATGGTAGCACAGGCCTGAAATCCCAACACTTCCAAAGTGGAGGCAGCAGGATCAGGAGTTGAAGGTTGGCCTTAAACAACTATCATGTTTGAGGTCAGTCTGGGGCTCATTGTAACCCTGACCTGGCAAACGCATTTGGAGTCAAAGTCACACTGTGGACCTGTAGATCTGAAGAGACAGAACCACAGTGTCTATGATATCCTGGGCCTATGGTGGGTGGGTGGGCGAGTGACTTATCAGATTCAGACATGGCAAGCAGGGCTGGCTGCCTCCCAGGAGATCCAGGTAGTGACCAGGGTCCAGGCTCTCTCCTTTCTCCTCCTAAGCTTCTCCCTTTTTAGTCCTCTTTTATACCACCAACGTCCAATCAGAAAGCAGGGTCTGGTAAGATTCCTGAATCTCCGCCCACTTTATCTTTATTGAGTTTAAGCTTTATTCCACTTGATTGAATTATGTAGGCTTTGGGAAGGGAAGATATACTGATAGTGTGGACCTCAAGGTCTCACTCAGCCAGGGCCTCAGCTTGGGCTTCCATCAGGACTGACTGTCAGGGTCCTGAGTGTTTGGGAGCAGGGGGAGATCCGAGATGCTACCAACATTAAAAGAGACAGCAACTGGTAAAAGGACCTTAGACTACATCAAAACATGAATAGCTAGGTGTGGTGGAACACACCTTTAATCCCAACACTTGGGAGGCAGAAGCTGGCAGATGGCTCAGTGAGTCAGAGGCTAGTAGGGTCTACAGGGATATTCAGTCTCAAAACAAACCAAAAAACCCACATAGGAATAAAGTTGAATGTGGTGGGCAGGCCTGTAATTCCTACCCTGTGGAGACTGAGACAGAAAACCAGACAAACATGGGAAGTCAGCCTGGCCTGCAGATTGAGTTCCAGGCTAATCAGGGCTAGCTAGTTAAAATGAATATAAAAAAGAAAAAACCAAACCAAACAAAACCAACATGTTCTAGATTTGAAAGTACTGAGAACAATCCTTGCTACAAGAAACCAAGGCAGGGGGATGTCCTTCCTGCCAGGAATTTAGCAGCTTCCTGAGAAACTAGATAGTTTGTCTCAAAATATAAAACCAAACATAAAGGATTACAAAAACACACACAGGCGAACAAGAAATCTTTCTGGAGATACTGTGCCTGTTGGTGCCTGCCTTTAATCCAACCATTCAGGAAAGCAGAAGCCAGCTGATCTCTGTGAGAGCAATACCATCCTGGTCAATACAGAGTTTCAGGCCAGCTGGGGGTACAGAGAGCAGTATGTCCAAACAAACAAATAAGCCAGGCATGGAGGCCTACGCCTTTAATCCCAGCACTGAGGTGGAAGAGGCAGGTGGATTTCTGTGAGTTCAAGGCCAGCGTGGTCTACATGGTAAGTTCCAGGACAGCTGGGGCTACAGGGAGACCCTGTCTCAAAAAGACAAAAAATAAAAATAAAAAAATAAAAACAGTGGATGGATGCTGCTGGGCGTGGTGGCGCACACCTTTAGTCCCAGCAGTCAGGAGGCAGAGGCAGGCGGATTCCTGTGAGTTCAAGGCCAGCCTGGTCTACATAGTGAGTTGCAGGACAGCTGGGACTACAGGGAGACCCTGTCTCAAAAAAAAACAAAAAAAAAGCAGTAATGCTGAAAAAAAGGGTTTTCTAGTTTTTTTTTCCAGCAGTCCTTTCCAGCCCTCCCTTCCTTTTAAGCCTAAATACCAGATGGAAGAAACAAAGAGCAACTAGCCATTGGTGTGTCTGCTCTCACTCCTCCACTTCTGCATGTATGGACTGCCAAGGCTTGTCAGTAGGGGAAATGCAAAAGCAGACATACTCCTGAAAGATTCTGCCCAAGGCAAGGACGGGGAGAAGCCAGGAAACATGCCACTTTGTCTGTTCAAAAGCTAGATCAAGAGGCACTAATTACCTCTCCATGCCAGAGGGTGAAAAACACTTAATAATAAAGCTGTTTATAGACACAGCAAAACAAAACAGGACTAAGAGAAACTTTGGCCAAGCAGGTTTGGACTTTTTTGAGAGTCTCACATAGCCCAGGCTGACCTTGAATCCCTCTAGTAGCTGTAGATGACACAGAGCTCCTGATCCTCCTGCTTCCACTTGACAAGTGCTGGGATAACAGGCAACAAAGAGCTTCCTTTCTTTTCTGACTTTACCTGTAACTGTCAGCAGACCCTGAGGAAGACAAGCTTTGCTCAAGGATTAAAAGCTATCAGAGACGCGAGATGAGTTTAAAGATTGGAAAGTGGTTGGGCACGGTGGCACATGCCTTTAATCCAGTACTAGGGAGGCAGAGACAGGCAGAACCAGGCCATACTGGTCTACACAGAGTTCTAGGCCAGCTGGGGATGTAGGGGGACCCTGCCTCAAAAAGACAAAAAATTATAAAATAAATTTTGCAAGTTTACCCAGAATCCACATTTGCTTCAGTACTTGAAAACAGGTTATATACTTAAGTGTATTGATGTAATAAAAGCAAAATAAACAAAAGCCAACAACAGTCATTTTCTTGGGCGTGGTGGTTCACACCTGTAATCCCAGCAATCTGAAAGTTGATGCAAGTTCATCAAGAGTTCAAGGCCAGCTCTGTCTACATAGCAAGTTCAAAGCCACCTTGGCCTACATTACTGTGACTCACACACACACAAACAAAAAACACCCACACCAATTTTCTGATCATTTCAATTCTCACAGGAAAAACATTTCAAAAACTAAAGTACTGGGCTGGTGAGACGGCACTGTGGGTAAAGGTACTTCCTGCCCAGCCTGAAAACCCATTTCATCCCAGGATCCACATGGTGGAAAGACTCCCCCAAGTTGTCCTCTGACCTCTACACATAAACCATGGCACACGTGCATCCAACACATACTCATTCAATAAATAAATATAATAAAAAGATTAAGCAAAAAATCCTAAAATGCTGTGGTTAAGCCTGTTATCCCTCAGAAGGGTGAGGCAAGAGAAATACAATGGTTTTGTTGTTGTTGTTGATGTTGCTAGATGTCTGTAATTCACTATGTAGTCCAGGCTGGCCTTGATCTCACAGAGATTCACCTGCTTCTGCATTCCAAGTACTGGAATTAAAGTTGTATCCCACTAACCCCAGTTAAGAGCAAGTTTGAGGCCGTCCTACAGGACAAAGCTTGATCCAGGCTCATAAACAAAATGAAACAAAATTTATTGACCACTCATCAAGTTTTCATTGTATCTTTCCTGGTTCCTATTAATATACAATAACTTTTAAAAGTGGTTGACATGGGACAGATGGGGGAACAAGGATTCAGCGACAGGATACAATGCAACTATTGTTTTTTTCAAATGTTTTATTTATAACTTAGTGTGGTAGTGCATGCCTTTAATCCTGGGAGGCAGAAGCAGGCTGGTCTCTGTGAGTTCAAGGCCAGCTTGGTCTACATTACAAGTTCCAGACCAGCTGGGGCTACAGGGAGACATATATACATATATTCATTAATTTAATTTTATGTGTATGAGTGCTATCCCGGAATGTATGTAAATGCACCCATGTCATACGATACCCATTGAGGTAAAAAGAGGGCTCTGTATCCCCTGGAACTGGTCTTACAGATTGTTGTTAGCCACCAAGTGGGTGTTGGGAATTGAACCTGGGTCCTCTGCAATAGTAGCCAGTGCTCTTAAATGTTTGGCCATTTTACCAGCCCCATCTAGTGCTACTGTTTGTTTTACACTATCAAAGCTTAAAAATAGGGCCTGGTGAAATTGCTCAGTGGTTAAGAACACTGGCTATTCTTGCAGAGGACCCAGATTTGAATCCAAGCACTCACATGGTGATTAACAACCATCTGTAACTCCAGTTCCGGGGGAATCCAATGCCCTCTTCTGACCTCCGATAGCATTGCATAGCATGGGTACAGTAACATATATGTAGGCAATACACTAGCACATATAAAATAAAAATAATAAATACAATACTAAAACAATAGCAACAATAAAATAATAAAATCCCTGATTTAAAACACACTGGACCAGGAGAGGTGATACATGCCTTTAGTCCCGGGACTCTGGAAGCAGAGGTAGGTAGATTTCCTTGAGAACTAAGCCTGCCTGGTCTACATAGGCAATTCTGGGGTTACTGGGGCTACAGGGAAACAGTGCTCCTCCCCCTCCACAAAGTAAATACATGGCTAGAATAATTCCGGGTTTTAACTTAGTGGTAATGGTTTTCCTTGTATATGAGAAAGATAATATTTTTCTTTTTCAGTTCATTGCTTTGGACAGTTTCCATCAAGCATGGCTATAAGCTAGGATGCCATTAAATCTTGGATACTCGGTCTCTGCTTCCAGAGTGGTTGGCTTTCAGGGGTGCACTGCTGGGCTCAGTTTTAAGTCGTTCTGAGATCTAACCCAGTAATTCATGCTTCTGATACAAGCAGTCTGCCAGCTAAGGTACAGCCCTGCCCAGTTTGCATGGGAAGGAGAAGCTGGAGACGTTGCTATGTAGTACTGCTTAGTTTAAAACTCATGATATAACCCAGGCTTGTAATAAAATCCTGGCTATCTTCTTGTCTAACTCACATATGAGAGGTATAGACACATTCACCAACCCAACGTCCCTGTTTTTTGTTTGTATTCTTTTTTTTGTCATGGAGTTTCTATCACTCTAGCCATCATAGAACTCACTATGTAGACCAGGCTAGCCTCCTCACAGACATCAGCAGTGGATGCCTCCCTAGTGCTGGAATTGCATGTCCCATGGCACTCTGCCTTACTGTTTTTAACATGATCAGACACTTGACTAAGTCCAGTTTATTTTTTCACTGCATCTTGTCTTGATGTACAATGCCCAGGTTATTGGAAAAAAACAGAAGATGTGGCTTAAACCCCATTCCTCTGCTGTTTTTTTTTTTCCTTTGGCTTCAGCCATTTGATGTGCCCACAGTGCCACCCAGTCTGAGTATCCTGGATTACCATCCTCTACAGTCCCCCAGACTTCATATTTGTGAGGGGTCTGCGCTGCTCAGCTTTCTTTGATACACCTGTGCATATGACCTAGTGATTGGTCCACACAAGTGAGATGTACCAGAAACCAGGCAAGAAAGAAGTCAAGACAATGTCAGAAGGGATTCACTTTATTTTGATATAAGTGGTCTTGGCCCTGACGCCTTCAGGCATCACAGGGTCCTGTGAACCTCAGTCACAGGACTCTCCTAATCATGAAACAGAAAGGAGGTTAATGATCAAAGGTGACACTAGAGACAGAGCACTGTAAAATGATAGAAGTGTGGCCCTTCCATGGAAAGAGGGACAAGGTCAAACTTAGATGCTGTCTCCTTTACTAAAAGGATAAATAACTGGGAATAGAGACCCTAGCAGAAGGTTCTCTCTCATGGGAGAGTGGAGATGGTTTGGAAGACAGAATCTACTGAGCTCAGCTCTAGGAGGCCAGACTAGATGAAGGTCATGGGGAACAGGCAGCTCATACATAGATCACCTCTGGTTTGACTTCTATCTCTTCTTGGAACGGATTATTTAAAAATACATATCTTTTAAATTTTTTTCATGTGTATAGATGTAAGTAGGTATTGCTCTGTGGGTATGTGCACTTGAGTATAGTAGTATATAGTAGTAGACAAGAGGATCTGGGACCCTAGAGCTTGAGTTACTAGAAGTTGTGAAACACCTGATATGGGTTCTAGAAGTCTGTCTTGGGTGTTCTGGTAGAGCAGGAAGCACTCTTATCTGACAAGCCATCATCTACCTATGTCTACTGTGTCCATTTGGAGCATCAAGGCTCCTGATTTAGTGCTATATTTCCTTCTGTGAAATATACCATGAATCACAGATCCCAAACTTTTTGCATATCTCCATGAGGACCTCAGAGAAGAGCCCCCACCTCCAGGCAGAATGACACAGGAAGAGGTGTGCATGACCAATGATGGAGCCTTGGATCGGTCAGAGCAACAGATCCCTCCCCTCCTGGTGACAGCAGGAGCCCTAGGCTGGGGCAGCGGTACTGCCTGGAGGATGCAGAAGCCACGGCCATGCAGACATCTCAGCTCTAGTCGCTCTTGAGCCCATCCCTGTGTCTTCAGTGTGCACTGACCCTATGGAAGTTCATTAAGGTTGCTTCACTCTGTTCCTGAAATGCCCTAGTCAAGGATCAGGCTTTACCTGAATGGAGACCCCTGAAGGAGCATTCCTTAGCCTCCTGGGGCTATGCTGGTCTGTCTTCCAACTTCTCACATTTCACACTGGTTCTTCTTTTCCTCACTCCCCTTTTCTGCTTCTCTACCACCCACTCTCTCTCTCTCTTTTTTTTCTCTCTCTCTATGTATGTATATATACCTCTCTATTCCCTAATTGGTATAATTCCACCAGACAGAGTCTAATATCCCAGAGGTCTCAGCCACATGATACAATGTCCCATAAAAAGAAGCATAAATAAATAAATAAAATCTTCTTATAACAAAGGAAATAACCAGCACCAATGGGATGCTGACTGGACATGTGGGACATAGCTCAGTAGCTAGGTTATTATACAGCAGGCACGATGCCCAACACTTGTGAGGTGGAGGCAGGATCAGCAGAAATTCAAGTTCATCTTTGGCTACACATGAACTTTGAGGCCAGGCAAGTGAGATGCTATCTGAATGCCCTCCATCTCCCAAAGCCCAGAAAAAAAGACAAGATCTGAGATTCAAAGAAATGGAAAACCTTAATGTTAGAATACAGGGGCTGGAGAGATGGCTCAGCAGCTAAGAACGCAGGTTGTTTTTGCAGAAGACCCGGGTTTGAATCCCAGCAACAACATGGCAACTAACAACTACCTATAACTCCAGTTCCAGGGGATCTGACAGCCTCTTCTGTCCTCTGTGGGCATTGGACGACATGGGTACACTTAGCTACACACAGGCAATACATTTGTCATTTGAAAAAAAATTAGAATACATGCTCCTAACTAAAACAACATTCAAATGTAGAACACCAAAATGATGAATTTGGGCTCAGAACTAAGAGATGCCTGAGTTGTGAATTAGTCTTGTGAAGCCCTGCAAGATGGGAAAGGGATAAGGGGCAGGAAGAGTCTCCTACTGTGTGGGGACTGGAAGTAAGAACACGTTACCCGCACACTGCCTTCCTCTTTCTCTTCCTGCTGCCTCCCCAGGCTTTGTCCAGGTCATGAGCACGGTGGAATTATTCAGTCTGATCTGTTCATGCTTCAAGATCTAATTCGATCTAGGCGAGTCCCTTCTGTAGGGTAGTTTACATGTTCCCCTCTCAACCCCAAGATCCACTTCCTCCCCACCTTCAAATCCCACCCTAAAACATAGATAAGCACTCTATGGCTACATGACCAGTTTGAAGCAGACCTGACTACAAGAAACCCTGTCTGAACAAAGAAGGAATTTCAGGCTCTGTGGGCAAGGCCCATTGCAGGCAAGCTGATGACCCGACTTGAGTCATTGGGACCCACATGGAAACAAGTGAAATCTTGATCGAGGCAGTATTTCTCTACATTCCCCAGGCTAGCCTTGAACTTGAGATATTTCTGCCTTAGTCAGATGGCAGGTAGGGGAGCCATCCTAATGGTCTCATATATTAGTTTCCAGGGTCCATTTGACTCTAGAGTATAACACTGCAAGTAAAAAGCATTCCAGAACTTGGGAGAGAGGCGGACCTTATGGTTTAGCTTTAGGTCCATCACTAGGTGCCTCAAACTAGAAGAGACATTGAGAAACTTTTCTTCATCAAACTCAAGCCAGTGCCCTTCCTCAAAACTCGAAGGCACAGGATACAACACCTGCCGTAACTGGCTCAATCTGGCAGTGTGGCACAGTAGCTTCTCCAGCAAAGGCAAGGACATGTGGTTCCCATAGAAACTGAGGGTGGTGAGATGGGAGCAGCCGTCCAGAGCAGGCAGGATGTGACTAATATGGAAATTATTGATTGAGCATAGGTCTAAGACCAGGGTCTCAAGTGTCCCTGCCACCTTCTCTAGCAGAGCTCGGAGGGGCTGCGGACTGAAGTCTGCCATGTTGATGTTGCTCAGAGTCAGGTGCTTCAGCTGACCCGTGCTTGGACACTCAGAAAGATGCTTCAAGTCTGATTCCAAAAGCGGGCTGGACTTCAAGGAGAGGGTCTGCAAGGGAGTGTGACTCCTAAAGAGAGAGCAGAGGGATTTCTGGTGAATAGAAGTAGTGATGGGGCACAGTGGAAAATGACCTCAGGGCAGGATATGACCTTGTAATTCAAGGTCATCCTGCCCTCATGAAGGTTACCACCCAGGCTCCTGCATGATGGAGACTGTTCAATCTAGTTATGTTATTCTAGGCTGACACCTGTCACCATCACAGTGAGACTCAGTCCCCAGCTCTGTAGCTCCTTTCATTACTGTCAGAAAACCACAGTGCTGGACAGAGGTCCGCTGGAGATACCCAGAAAGGGCTAACATGCAGTCCTGTCCCTAAGAAGCTCCTTCAGCACAGACCCTATCCTGTTCCCAGTCTTCACCCTGCCCCTAACCATTAACCCAGGAGTCAATAATGTTCCATCAACTCAGCCACTGTCTAGCCTCACAACAGTCTTTAACACATGGAGAATTGGAGGCAGGCTGCTATCTACATACCTGCAGACCAAGAGCTCAACAGGGAACCACGCTGGTTTGAGTTGTCCCCTCCCACAATGCCCTCTACTCTTTCTGCTTCTCCCCCCTAGTTTGGGCAGCAGTCCCTAAATGGGAAATGACAAACTTCCCTCACTAGGTCTCATCTCAATCTGCAGTCCCCACCTGGTGACCCTTTCCAGCTGTTCCCTCTGCCTTTACATGGGCAGCCGTGTATGACCTGCCTTAGGACTGCACAGTGGAGCTGACCATGCACACTTTCTGTGTCTCCCTCTCTGTCCCACCATTGCCTGCACCTGTCTCACAGAAGACTCTGCTCTCTAGATGTACTACAACCCAGGATGGCGTAGCTCTGTGCACGGCCAGCACTGCACCCGCTCTCACCTGAGGATGTTGTGCAGCTGTCCTTTAAGGAAGAAGACGTCATCTATATAAATCTCCCGCAGATTGTCCAGCTTTCGTAGATGAACTGCATACATATGGGAATACCACCTATTTTGCCATACAGATGTATATATCTCCGGACTCATACCATCAAAGGAAAACTTCTGAAGTTTGCTCATCCTGCCCAGGTAAGGAGCAAATATTTTCATGGTGTTTTGATGAAAAAAACTGTACACGTCCAGTTCCTCAATGCTGTCCAGTTGTACAACATGCATAAATGTCAGTATTTTGTACATGGAATCTGACAAAATCTGCAGCCTCCTGCAGCACAGCTGGACGACCCGTTTCCTCATCTTCACCCAGTCCAAGAGATAGATTTGCAAATCGTTAAGAAGTCCACGTTTGAAGGTGATGCAAAGGTCTGCAAATATCCTGAAGGGCCTTGGTCCCATCCCAGAACTAGGACTGCCTGTTTGTAACTCACTAGGGAGCTCTGAGCAGGCGCGGGCTATGCGTCCACACCCCATCTTCCAGATGTTCTCATCCCTGTTCTGAAAACTAAGCACTTGCAGTTCCCACCCTCTGTGGAGAAAAAAGCAAATGTATCTCAAATTATGGAAGGACCCCAACCCCAAAACGAGATTAATTGCAGCTTCTGGATACCACCTTCTCCCAATTTTCTGCTCTGTCTTACTTTTATTTATTTATTCAATTACTTAAAATTATTTTGAGAAAAAATATCTCTTTATGTAGTTCAGTTTGGCATGAACTCCAGCTCCTCCAGCATCTGCCTCTAGAGAGTGCTGTGATTACAGACCTGGTCAGCACACCCTGCTTTCTGTCTTCCTTTTCTCTACACCCTTCCCCTTGAAACCCAGTCTGGTCCTCCTTCTGATGAGTGGGAGGAGGCAAGGAAAGGCTCCTAAGGCTGTGTCTTCCTCTGTCCTCAACAGTCTCCCATGCTTGGATGCACTGTCCCAGTTAAATTGGGGATGACCCAGACCTTCTAGACCTCTTCACTGACACCATCCAAATTCTTAGTTCCACCTCTTCTACTCTCTATGATCTCAGCTCTCCCTTCCCTGGACTCCTGGTCCTGCCCTCTAGGCTCCCTGGGTCTCCCTTACCTGGGGCGATTCTTTATGGCAAGCAGCGTATCAAGCCCATCTAGGATGCCTTGCAAGGTTTCCAGATGGGGTGTCTTCATCAGTGACCCCAAGGGCAGGGAAGGGAATGGCCAGGCCTGTACCATTGACCTCAACTCATGCCTGTGTCCCCCTTTGAAAGCCTCCACAAAGACTGGTAGGAAGAAGTCCATGGGCAGGTCCTGCAGGGTGGAGGGGTCCAAGGCCTTATTCTTCAGCAGACTCCGACTTGCCAGCTCCAGGAGTGTGGGTGGGGTCTGCAAACTCATGCTGAGACCTTTGCAGGGAACTTTTCCTGAGGGAGTACATAGAAAGACAGCCTTTCAGCCAGGGTGAGAAACTCCTTTTCACTCATCCAAGGACCCAATCACACCTCAAGTCACTGCTCTGTCAATAACAGAGACCTCAGTTTACCCTGCTGCACCATGAAGTTGGCAGCCACAAAGCTGGAGTTCTAGAACAGCAGCAGCAAAAAGAGGCTTGATCAAGCACACACATGGGTTCCAGGTCACCATCGTCCCATCTGATTCCTGTCACTGCTCCTCCAAACCCCATTGGGAATGGGCACCCAGGACCTGAATGGAAAATATCTTGTCTTCACTCAAGGCCCTCAAATGAAGCATTGGAAATGTGGTGTTCCACCCTCCGAACATTACCGGTGCAACTTTAATCCTGGCTGGGACAGTCAGAGGAGACTCTGAAAGGGATGCCATTCACTTATATCTTTGGGAACCACTGTTGATTTTCATGGCCTTTAATCCCAGCTCTCTGGAAGCAGAGGCAGGCAGATCTTCGTGAGTCTGAGGCTAGCTTAGTCTGTACAGCAAGGTTTTTTTGCAGCCAGGGCTACATAGTAATATCCTATAAAGAAAACAACAAAAGAAGCTTCTTTGATTAGTGGTGACTGGGATGTTACTAAGTACCATAACTGGTCACACACAGACATTGTCTGTGAATTGCCCAGGCCTAAGTGACACATCTATAATGCAACTTCTATGCCTAAGGCTCACACAACATAGAACAGGGGTAAAGCCACTAATGAATCTTTCAATTCTCATTCATGAAGCTCCCTTCATGCAACAGAGGGCCAGGAACAGAAAAGGTCACAAATGAAAAAACCGTGAAGGTCAGGAGTCGGCTGAATGGTCTTGGACACGACTCCTATATGAAACTTCACCCACCCAGGACTCAGGGACCATTGCAGAAGAGGCGGGGCAGAAAGATTGTAAGAGCCAGGGAGAGGTGCATGACCACATGGAAATACAGTCCTACAAGCTCCTCGGATCCTGCCCGTATGAATCTATAGCAATGGTGTTGGCACGCACAGGACCCATGCAAACTCAAGCAGACAAAAACAGCATAGAACTGGGGGAATAGACAGCAGACCCCAATCTTAGTTTTAGAAATATTGGCAACTGATTACTCCTAAGTGAGGAAGAGCTGATCTTCCTAAAGCGAGGTAGATAAGCTAACTAGACCTCAGTTGATAAACTTTCACTGAGTAATGTGTGAGGATACTAACTTGATACAATAGGCCTTAACACAAATGACAGAATGTATGAATCCAGTGGTGGGGGAGGCTATGGGAGGGTGCCAGTGGGGAAGGCGGTATACAGATGATTAAAATTGATTGAGATGGAAAACACTTTTTTTAAAAAAAAAAACAAAACAAAAATCAAGAAAACAACAAAAACAACTTAGGAGCCAGATGTGTGGGCACAGCTGTAATCCCAGCACTTGGAAGGTGGAGGCAGGGGGACTTAGATTTCACCTTCATTCCCAGAACGGAAAAATACAAGAGACAACAAAATTCTCATCAGAGTTTGAAGGCCCACACCTGCATTCCCAGCACCGGAGATGGAGAGACAAGAGGATCATAACTTTGATGCCAGCGTGGGCTAAGCAGTAAGACTGCCTCAAAGTTCTAAAATAAAGAAATCCCTATGCTAGCTGAGGGATGATTTATGCTGATTGCTGTTGGGAGGGGGAGTCCGTCTACTGTAAGGATGAGCCTCTGTGTACGTTTATCAGGGGCCGGTGACTCCACACACACTCAAGTGCATTCGGGTACACAAATTTGTCTCCATTCGCCTTAAAAATACATTTAATAGAGTAAATCAATTTTGAGGGGACTGTTAATGAGGAAAATGGGAACAGGAGGCTGCCAAGGCGGTAGAGGAAGAAGAGGAAGAAGTTGGGGAAGAAGAGGAGGAGGAGGAAGGTAATGGAGAGGAAGAGGGTGCAGATGAAGATGATGAGGATGAGGATGTAGATACCAAGAAGCAGAAGACCGATGAGGATGACTAGACAGCAAAAAGGGAAAGTTAAACCTAAAAGGCCGCCGTGACCCATTCACCCTCCACTTCCGGTCTCAGTATCTAACCGTGGTTACCTTTGCCTAGAGAGGCAGGCCTGCCTGCCCACAGCGGGCAATGCCGCCCCAGATGACACGCCCTCTCCACCACCCCACCGAAACCACAACGCGAATTTGCATCAGGGGAGGAAAAAAAAACCAAAACTTTGCCCTGCTTTTTTTCTTAGAAGTACTTTTGGATTTTTTGAGACAGGGTCTCCCTGTAGCCGCAGCTGTCCTAGAGCTATGTAGACCCGGCTGGCCTCGAACTCAGAGATGCGCCTGCCTCTGCCTCCCAAGTGCTGGGATTAAAGGGGATTAAAGGTGTGAACCACCACGCCCGGCTTTCTTAAAAGTACTTTAAAAGGAAAATTTGCTTGTGTTTTTTATTTACATTTTATATTTTTGTACTTATTGTTAGGGGTCAGCCATTTTTGATAGCGGGTGACCAAAATCAGCCTTTGGAGGGTTCTCTGTCCTGCTTCCGACATTACTTAGGGTGTGACCATGTTCATTATAATCTCAAAGGAGAAAAAAAACCTTGTATATATATATTAAAAAACAAACCAAAAACAACAACAAAACAATCCAATCTTATTCCGAGCATTCCAGTACCTTTTTTGTGTATGTACCTAGTTCTACTATAAGTAGTTGGTATGTATGAAATGGTTAAAAAGGCCAAAAATATCAGGACTCAGGAAGCAGAGGCAGGCGGATCTCTGTGAGTTCAAGGCCAGCCTGGTCTACAAAGAGAGTTCCAGGCCAGCGAGGGCTACAGAGAGCCAGTCTCAAAAACAAAAAGGCCCAAAATGAAAGGTTTTTATTGCCTCTTATTTTGCCTTTGAAGTTGCTGTTTATTTTTTTGGCCTGTTTGATGTATGTGTGAAACAGTATCCAACAATAAACTGGAATTTTATTTTGCTGCGTTGTTCTAACAAAAACAACAAAAAAAGCAAAAGTGAAGGAGTTAGAGATCTACCTCAGTAGTACGTGGATGTGGTAGGCTCCGGCTTCACCTCAGTAGTACGTGGATGTGGTAGGCTCCGGCTTCACCTCAGTAGTACGTGGATGTGGTAGGCTCCGGCTTCACCTCAGTAGTACCTGGATGTGGTAGGCTCCGGCTTCACCTCAGTTGTATGCAAATGTGGTAGGCTCTGGCTTCAAATCTCAGTACTATGGAAACAAGGAAAAGCAAGAAAAATTCGATCAACATTTTCCCACAGATTCTGGAAAGTGCTGCTTTCATGGGAACCCTGACCTGGAGCCCAATCAGGTTTAGATCCCCATGGACGACTCTTAACACCAGATGTGATCACTTGCTTCTGGGGGAATAAGCAACTGATATCTAGGACCCCAAATCCAGACTCCATGAAAAAGGGAACCTTGCGTACTAGAAACGGTAGATTGTGTCAGGATGACCACAAAACAGAAAAATAAATAGAAAATAAAACGTGGGTAACGAAACTCAGGACCACCATGAAGGCTGAGGCAGGAAAACCGCCCTGTCGAGACCAGGGTCTGCTACAGAGACAGAATATAACGAAAGTATAAAGAAAAAACAAAAACAAAACAATCCATCCAGTCAACCAAATCATATATCAGTGATACAGCTTTATAAAAAAACAAAGCAATGTACTTGGGTGCAAAATAGTGAACAGAAGGCTTTTTTTTTTTTCAGGCTGGGAATTGGAAGTAGGATCTCCTGTGGCCGTACTTGCCCTGAACTGACACTAGGTGGCTATGACCTAGAACTGATCATCTTCCTTCTCCTCCTGAGTGTTAGGGTTATAGGCCTGGATTTCAACAGCTGGTTTTATGCTGCGCTGTGAGTCTAAGCAGGACTTCACGTAGACTATCAAGCACATTCAGTAGCTGGTGAATGGAGCTGCATCCCCAATTCACTGTTTTTTTTTTCTCTTTTTTCAGTCACTAGACACCTATGCTTAATCCCCATCTATTTCTTCAGGCTCTGTTGCTACCGAGCCAGGCTTTCTGTATAGCTGAAGCTGGCCTTCATTCTGGGTTCTTCTGCTCAGCTGATGCTGGAATTATAAATATGCACCATGTGCCCAGTGTCAGCTCTGTTGTTAACCTGACTAAAAATGTCATAAAGCCAGGGGTGGTGGTGCAGGCCTGAAATCCCATCAGTTCCAAGGCAGAGGCAGCAGGATCAGGAGTTGGAAGGCCAGCCTTAGACACCCAATAAGTTTGAGGCAAGTTTGGGGCTTATTGTAACCCTGTTTCTAAAAACCTGATTAAAAGCGTTAGGACTACTGCTTGTTCTCGCAGAAGACCTGGGTTTGAATCCCAGCACCCACATGGCAGCTAACAACTGTCCATAACTCCAGTCCCAGGGGACACGACAGCCTCTTCTAACCTCCTCGGACATGGCATGAACGCCGAGTGCACTTAGATACATGCAGGCAATACACGCATACACATGAAATAAAAATAGTAAATAAAGACTTTTTTAAAAAAAGAGTGTTAGGACTGAAAGGAAAAGTTCGTTTGGAGTCAAAGTCACAGTGTGGATCTGTAGATCTGAAGAGACAGAAAGAACCTGCATTCTCTGTGGCATCCTGGACCCAATGTCACCACTGAGTCTGGTAAAGGTGGGTGGGATTTCATATGAAGAAGAGTGACTTACCTGACCCAGAAGTGGCAAGCAGGGCTGGCTGATTCCAAACAGGAGATCCAGGCAGTGACTCCAGGCTCCAGGACTGACTCTTTCCTTTCTCTTCCTGAACTTTTCTTGGTCTTTTTGAGGCCGAATCTCCCTGTAGCCCCGGCTGTCCTGGAACTCGCTCTGTAGACCAGGCTGGCCTTGAACTCACAGAGATTCACCTGCCTCTGCCTCCCGAGTGCTGGGACTAAAAGTGTGCTCCACCTCCTGTGGCTTCTTCTCCTAGACTTCTA